TCCAAGCACAACAAGGAAACATTAAAACTAAGCAAAAACCAACAAAAAATAACACACAAAAAAATGAACTTAGCACAAGGCATGTAGAACAAAGGAACAAACAGCACCACACAAAAATTTAACATAATGACAGCAGTTAATCCATACCTATCGATAATTACACTGAATATTGATGGATTAAATACACCAGTGAAGAGACAGAGGGTGGTTGAATGGATAAGAAAACAAGACCCTTCAATAGCTGCCTACAAGAGACACACCTTACACACAAAGACAAAAACAGACTAAAAGTTAAAGGATAGAAAAAAATATATACCAAGCTAACAGTAATAAAAAAAAACAAGCATGAGTGGCAATACTAATCTCTGATAAAATAAACTTTAAGGCAAAAACCATCATAAGAGATACAGAAGGACACTGTCTCATGATTCAAGGGTCAATTGAGCAAAATGACATAACAATAATTAACATCTATGCTCCAAATGAAAGAGCACCAAGATATACAAAGCAAACCCTACAAGAATTGAAGAAAGAAATAGATAAATCTACAATTATAGTAGGAGATTTTATAATGCGCCACTTTTGAAAAGGGATAGAACAACTAGAAAGAAACTTGACAAAGCTACAAAGGAACTAAACAGCACAATCAAACAATTTGACCTCATAGATGTGTAGAGCATTCAACCCAACAACAACACAATACACATTCTTTTCCAGTGCACATGGAACATCATCCAGAATTGACCATGTGTTAGGTTACAAAGCAAGCCTCCATAAATTTACAAACATCAAACTACTACAAAGCATCTTTTTAGACCACAATGCCATAAAATTAGAAATCAACAATAAGAAGACCAAGGAAAGAAAGATTAATACATGGAAACCGAATAACACCCTGCTTAAGAGCAACTGGATAATCGAAGAAATTAAACGTGAATTCAGAAAGTTCCTAGAAACAAACAAGGATGAAAACACAACATACCAAAATCTTTGGGACACTGCGAAAGCAGTGCTGAGAGGACAATTTATTGTGATAAATGTGCACATCCAAAGAGAAGAAAGAATCAAAATTAACACATTAACACAGTGTCTCCAACAAGAAGCAGACCAACAGGGGGAACCTACAGTCTCCAAAAGAAAAGAAATAATAAAGATCAGAGCAGAAATAAATGAGATAGAAAAC